AATAAAGGCTTGAAATATTTCACTTTGTGTGCAGTGAACTAATATAACATACAAGTTTCACTTTTTGAAACAAATTATTGAAATAAATGAACTTTTCCTCGATATTCTAATTTTTTGGCACATACCTGTATTTGTCATATGCACAGTTACGAAACATGTTTCCCTCTAACTGTTTGATTTGATTTGACTTATTTATTCTTTCAAGCATGTAAAGACAGTTGATATGTCAACACACATAATTTTACACATATCCAACAAATGCTAATCCAATATGTTATAACTGTTATGCCTTGAGATTCAACACCTCTTCTTTTGCAGCATGCTGACATGAGTGAGTATGTCAGATGACTGAACAATGCAGTGATGAGTGTCTGTGAACAGGTTATTGAAATCCTGAGCATGAAATAATAATAATAATAATAAATGTAAGCATTAAGACAGAAATGCACTTAAAGTATTAGTAGGCTACTCGATGCAGAAAAATGCTTTATTATACAGTATTTTATTATATTTAGAACCTATCATTCATGCACTTATGTAAAAGCAGGATTTGACTGTTGGTTGAGGTGCCAGACCTGTCTGTGCCTTCATTCCAGCACACACAAACATAATCATTTATGTGAGCTGGGAAAGCTTGTGTTTCTGTGGTCAGACTGGGATCAGTAATCCTGTAGAACCAGAGCTACAGTTAAAAGTTGTGTGTGTACTGGGCCTCATTAGCCTAGTTATAGTGGTACCCATATTGTGGTGGGAAACAAGGTCCCACATACACCACGAGAAAAGAGCTAATGCCCTGATTCCACTCGAGTTGGTTTTTAATTTGGGTAAAACTTCCACTTTAATGGTAGACGTGTGTGATATTCTTGACTGCTCTGTGTGGCCACAGCAAGAGCAATTAAGACAGTTTGATAAATATATTTGTATACTGTCCTATGTCTAGTTTAATGTTCAGTGTCTTATTAATCTTACTAACCTCACTAATCTTACCAGAAATTTAGTTGTTAGATTTCAGGAGCAACTGGCAGCCACTTCTCTTATGTTGTATCAGAACAGACTGGCATTAGACTTCATTCTGATTGAAAAAGGGGGTGTTTGTACTATGATTGGGCAACAGTGTTGTACTCACATCCCAAATAACACTGCTCCTGATGGCTCAATTGCTAGGGCCCTGACAGGGTTGAAATTTTATCAGAGGAGATGGCTGACTATTCAGAAATTAAAAATGACATAGATGATTGGTTTGTTAAAAAGATTTTGGCAAGTGGAAAAATTGAGTGATTTCTTAGCTACATCTTTTGTGGCAGCAGTTACTCTGCTGACCTTGTGTGGATGCTGCAGTATCCCCTGCATTAGGCATCTTTGTCTAAAGTGTATCACCACTGCCATTGATAAACGATATCCCAATATCCATGGGAAACTATGCCCAATGATCTCACTCACTGAGCCCGGTGAGTCTGAGGTTGAAGAGGACCCCTTGACGGGGAAGAAGACCGTGACCTCTCTACATATTATTGCTAAGGGTTAACAGATACCCACATATATTCTTGCATACACGTAGGTGATGTGGACTCATAGGTGTGTGATTGATTTTGATTATTGAGTAGAATTTTGTGATAAATGTGTGATACTGGAAGAAGATCTTTAGTCTCCAGCATAATGTATTCCTCCTGCAAATGTTATGATTAACCAATGATTGTTTTGCTACAAGTTGTTTAGACATTTTCCATGTTTTTGTCTGAAAAATGCTATAATTGCAATGAAGACCAGCTTACACATAGAAGCCTACATATAGGATCACTGCAACAAAGAACTGCTTACATGCCATTATTTTAATGTTATTATTTTAGATTTTTCCCTTAGGTACTCAGCTCTGGGCTTTCTGGTTTGGGGGGGGGGCTCTCTCCTCCTTGGATGCCTAGTCTGATCTGATTGCTCTGAACCGTCTACCTGATGGCAGTTCAAAGAGTGAATGTCCTGGGTGTGAAGTGTTCTTAATGATGTTCTAGGCTTTTTTGAGGCAGTGGGAACTGTGTAGTTCTTCCAGAGTGAGGAGAGGGCAGCCGACAATCTCCTGGGCCATATTAATGACCCTCTGGAGTGCTTTCCTCTGAGCTACTGTGCTGCTGCTATACCATACATATATACAGTATGTAAGGATGTTCTCAATGGAGCACCGATAGAAGGACACCAGCAGTCTCTGGGAGATGATGTTCTTCCTGAGCACCTGTAGGAAGTACAGTCTCTGCTGGGCCTTTTTAAGCAGTCCAGAGATATTCACACCCCAGATGAGATCCTCCTTAATGTGAACTCCCAGAAAGCGAAAGGCCGGCACCCTCTCCACACGGTCCCCGCTGATATATAGTGGCAAGATGTAAGTTTTCTTCCTCCTGAAGTCAACAATGACCTCCTTAGTCTTTGAGGTATTAGGGAGCAGATTGTCCTCTCTGCACCACACTATCAGCCTCTCCATCTCATCCCTGTAGGTAGTCTCATCCACCCCGAAGATAAGCCCCACCACCGTGGTGTCATGGTTAATTTACAATTAACCTCTTTTGCAAACAAGTCAGACTCTTCCAACTCTGCTGTAGCCACCATGATTTTCTGAGACTAGCATTGCGCCGTTGCCTAAACCAATTACTGGAGTGAAAAACTACTGATGCAAGCACACAGTAGATACAAAGGGACAAATATGGAACAGTGTGTCTTAAGGAACTGATTCTGTTATAAATCAAACACATATCTATGAAACAAAGCACTGACAAAAAAAAATGTGTCCAAAGAAAATATGGTTGTTGATGCATTTTTAGCATTGACATCATCAATGATGCCAACTAACTGTGGTAGCTCTACAGCCAATGTAAGGCTCAGTAAAGCCAGATAACCACACAGAGCCAGACTAAGCGCAACTCGCTTCGTGATACAGGCTTCTGATCAAACTGGTCAGACAGTCATGTTAAACTAGACAAAGAAAGTGTAATAGCAAATTAGCATGACCGATTACTCACCCTCATCATGTATACAGTGTCCTTTGATGAAGAACAAGCATATCTCCGTTTTATCTGAAAGGGAAAAAAATTACACTATGAAGTATATATTTTACACTGTTGTTTCAGACAACAGTTTTATCCTCCCATGAAAGTTTCTGCAGCTGGAATAATTTACCTCTGACCACCCTTTGTCTTTTCATCAGCCCATCATTCCTGGTGGCATTTTGCAGCTTGCCACTTGCAGCAGAAGTTAAGTCATTACTGGAACAAGCTTTATGCAGCCGTTGATGTGGGCCTCTGCTGCCCCAGTTGCCACCTCTCCCTCTGACAGCTGCTGAAGGTTTATTCGGCTTCCCTGTTTGTCTGTTGCTCTGACCACTGCTGCTGCTTGCATCAGTGTCGTCAGCAGCAGTAGAGATGTCACTGGTGGAAGAGTTTTGTTGACTGTTGCCTATGCTTAGCTTGTCAACAGTGTAATCATTTAAGGCATCAATGTCTGCAAGGATATTACTAGAGGAAGAGGCTTGTTGTGGATGGTTGCCAGGGTTTACTCTTTTTCCTCCTTTTGCCCTGTAGTCCCGCTGCCTACCTCTCCCTCCGTGCCATTCTCTTGTTGGTAAATTCAGACCAATTTTGCTGCTTGCAACAGTATCAGCAGCAGCAGGGGTATGACTGGTGGAAGAATTTCGACGGTTGCCCTTATCACCTCTATCACCTCTATTGCCCGAGACCTTCAAAGCCTTTTTATTTGTATAAACTGACTTCAGGGAGCTAATAATGTTATCAGGCACACCTTTATCCCGCAGGTTTTTTAGTGGCTGTGGAGCACTGAAAGCATGAGTCCTGATGCAGCTGCAGTCACGGTTCAGGTACTGTTCACAGATGTGCAGTCTTGTGCAATCATTTCCCGCCTGACACCCAAATTCCCCCAGACCATTGTTATAATCATGACATATCTAATAGAGAGAGGATAAGACAAGGAGAAAACATTGTTACAATCAAGCAAAGCAAAAAGCAAGGACAGCTCAAATCTCTTGTGAATAAATATTCTGTATGTTGGCAGATTTACAGGAGGCAGGAGTCTGTCATCATTCTGTAGCAGCAGTGTGCGCAGCTCCATCAAGCTCAAACTCTCCAGCTCATGCACTCCAAGTATCCTGACGTTGTGGTCGGAGTTCAGTTCATGAGAGAAACTGCATCCTGTCCTGTCATCATACAACACAACACACAGTTCACTCATGTGCTTGATTGTTATAGTTGCTCAGGAAAAGAACACATTTCTGTATAATATTTTGTAACTACAATATACTGAATTTACCTAAAAGAAAATTACTGAAAGATCATGCAGGTTTATTGTGTGCTAATATGGTAGCTGGAAAGTCTGACAGCAACAAAGTCAGTTCAAATAGTGTAGCTATTTTAAAGGTCACATAGCACTGTTAAATATTATAGTAGCAGCTATAAAGAGGTGTGGAACATGCTTATGTGCCACTGTGTCCTTGACTCATACAAAATACATATACACTAACATGCAGAGAAGGCTGAAGGTCACAAAAGTAACTGAAAATTTATGGCACCCTGTGACAAAGTGGGTGAGAACACTCCACTTGTCCCTAGGCTAAGTCATGTATGTTTCTTAATGCCTTAACCTGTGCGTTAAATGTTTGATTGTATTTACTAGGTTAATCACTCATTTTGTATGCTCTCTGATGTCATCAAGGATGTCATAGGGTTGATTGATACCAGGAGCTACTTAATCAGCTGAGGTGGACCAGCTGGGAGTGTGGCAGTGTGCACGTACTTGTAAGTTGCGTTGAGTTATTTTCAGTTGAGTTTTCTTCAGTTATGTGAAGTTAAACCATTTAGTTTGTTTAGTGATTTTGTTTGGCATGTGTACTTTGCTGGCACTTATTTAAAATAAATTACTGATTTGAGAAAACCTGATGCATTTTTCGAGTCTGTCTCCTACATTCCTGGCCGCTCAGAGTCAACCTACCACACACCCAGACTGTCTTTCTAGTCTGTTGCAGAAAATCTTTGTGCTGCTTTTTGATGTTCTAATTGAAAAAAGAACAATAAAACCAAGTAACAAGAGAGCATTTAACTTGAAAAAACAAGAATTTATACATGATAACACATACAAACTGCTAAAAAAAAAAATTAAAGGAACATTTAACATCACAGTATAACACCAAGTCGGTTAAACTTCAAGGATATCAATCTGTCCATTTAGGAAGCACAATGATTGTGAATCAGTTTCACCTGCTTTGGTGCAAATGAAAGTGACAACAGGTGCAATGGAGAGGTTTTGCATGTGGTGGCCACAGACATATGGTCTCTTCTCATCCTTCCTGACTGATTCTTTTCAAATGTTGTGTTTTGCTAGTGTTTTTGTCACTACTGGTAGCATGAGGCAGTACCTGCAGCCCAATCAGGTCGCACAGGTAGTTACTCAAAGAAGGTTTACTATGTCTCTCAGTACAGTCTCTCAGAGCATGGAGGAAATATCAGGAGACTGGCCGTTACACCAGGACAGCTGATCAGGGCCACAGAAGGGCAACAACCCAGGAGCTGGTCTGGTAGCCACTCCTTTGTGCAAGGAAGTATAGGAAGAGCACTGCAAGAACACTACAAAATGACCTCCAGCAGGCTGCTGGTGTGCATATTTCTGACCCAACTATCAGAAACAGACACCATGACGGTGGCACAAGGGCCCAACGTCCTCCAGTGTGACCTGTGCTCACAGCCCAGCACTGTGCAGCTCAACTGGCATTTGCCACAGAACACAATTGGTGCCCTACTCTTGTCACAGATGAGAGCAGGTTCACACTGAACACATGTTGGAGGTATGAAAGAGTCTGGAGATGCTGTGAAGAACGTTATGCTGCCTGTAACATCATCGAGCATGACCGGTTTGATGGCGAGTCAGTGATGGCCTGGGGAGACATATACTGATGGCTGCACAGACCTCCATGTCATAGCCAATGATACCCTGACTGCTCCGAGGCACTGGGTTGAAATCCTCAGAGCGATTGTCAGACTTTACACTGGCAGAGTGGGCCCAGGGTTCCTCCTGGTGCAGGACAATGCCCGGCTTCATGTGGCTAGAGGGTGAAGACACTTCCTGGATGATAAAGGCATTGATAACATTAAAGGGCCCTCACCTTCTCCTGACCTAAATCCAACTGAGCACCTATGGAACATTGTGTATTCTGCATCCATTGCCACCAAGTACCACCAGCTCACCAATGCCCTGATCCAGGTTTGGGAGGAGCTCTTCTAGGACACCATCTGCTGACTCATCAGGAGCATACCTAGACGTTGCCTAGGGTGCATATAAGCGCACAGGGGCCGTAAACACTACTGAGTCACATTATGAGCTGCCAAGATGAAAGTCACACAACTTGGATGAGCCTGAGATTTAAATATTTCACTTTGATTTTCAGTGTGATTTTGAATACAGCCCTCCATGGGTTGATGATTTTGGTTTCCATTGACCACTGTTATGTCACTTTGTTCTGTACAAATTATACAAAGTACATTAGTAAAGTTTTTCAACTTGAATGATTTGTTCATCACGATCCAATGTGTGATTTAAGTGTTACCTTAATTTTTTGAGCATTGTACTGTATATAGACACACCGTCTCAGTCTGTGGTATTTCTTTGTTGTATTATTTTTATATATAGATTAATACCAAAGACATCAAAACTATGAAATAGCACATATGGAATTGTGTACTAACTAAAAAAGGTGTTTGATTCTTCAAATTAGCCCCATTTGCATTGATGACCACTTTGCACACTATTGGCAATATCTTAACCTGCTTCATGAGGGAGTGAACTGGAATGGCTTTCAATTAAGAACTGTGCCTTGTAAAAAGATAACTGGTGGAAATTCTTTGTTTTCTTGTCTGAAATCACATTATGTCAAGACCCACCCAACTAAGTTAAGAGAAAACCACTGTCCATTATTACCGTAGACAAAGTTGAAAATTTCTACAACTGCAATCATAAAAATCAAGTTCAGTAAAGTACATATCAAAACTATGATAAATATAGAACTGTGTAGTGTGCAGAAAAGGTTAAAGCAAAAATATCTCATTTTATATTCTTCAAACTAGCCAGCCTTTGCTTTGATAAAGAAAAACCACTTGTAACAGATACTTAAATGTCAGTGTCAGACTGCTCCCTTAATATAAACTTTGAAGCTACCTTCAAAGTTGGACAATCAGACTTCTGCTGCTCAATGTGTTCAATTAGCCCGTAAAACTATACAATATGCCTGTTTATTTTTATGACAGAACCGTAGGCGAATTTAAACTTGCAAGGTAATGGAGCGGACCTTCCCAGTCGTAGCCTACCAGAATGCATCACGGGTGCAAAGGTCTTTGAGCCAGGTGGACAATATAATCACATTCAGTTGAACTACAACGCCAAAACAAACCTGAGAGGATATCATCCTTCATTAAATCGCTTATGGACTATAACGTTACTGGACGACAAACTGAATTAAAACAATAAAAGATAATTTAAAAACAATTCAAATATCTATAGTGGAGCAACAAGGTAAAGGCTCTATTCCATTATAAAGCCTCGTCCGGTTCTTTCAAACCAGGAACTCCGAGGGACGACTCAGACCACTTGAGTATATAAAAAATATAACCGTGCTGGTTTATTCAAAAAGTCACAGGCAAGAATTAACACTTCCAGTCCAGAGATCTTCCAACCCCAGGCTGCCCAAGCAGCCCGGAAGCAGAAAAGACCCCGAACCAAGCATTGCTATACAATATTAATCATTTCTGGGCTGTCGAACCGTGACGTCACCTGATATGCCAGCTTGGCAGCTGAGCAGAGCAGTAGACAAAACATGAAGAAAATAATGTGTGTGGCTGTTGTTTTCGTGGTGTGTATCTAAAACAATTTGACATAACATTACACATTAAGACAAATATTATGGTTACTTTTACCGTCATAATAACATTTGTCCCTGACTTCAGCCCTTCTCTGCCTTAACCAACCTTGCATTTAACAGCCCGAGGAGACATCCCGGCTACACTAACATCTTCTAATACAACAGATCTCTAATCAATATCTATCTAACTAAGAAATTACCTAACAAAGGCCTCCCAGACTACCTGCTCAGCACAACAACTACTTCAAGTAGCCAGGCTAGTTTGTGGCTAATCATGATTCATGTTACTTTAACCAAGCACACTTAACTGTTACCTGAACTGAGAGTATTGGCAGGATCCGCTGAAGAGGATGGCTTTACAAATGTGTAGCTTCATGCATGATCCCGGACAGTTTCTCTTATTGCACAGCGTCAGTGTGGTCCTGGCCACCACCTTCGGCTGCCCATTGAGACAATATGGAACAAATTTCTCTCGGTTGTTAATTATATCCGGATCACCGGAGCAGAGATTATACACCAGATCATCAGTGTTAACTGCTCCATGATTCGCGCAAATAAACTTCAGAATTTCTGACTCTGTTGCCCTGTTTCTGTCCATCTCCGAGCGACTGCTGGGTTCAAATGAGGAAGCAAAGTTGGGTATCGTTTATGGCGAATGGAAATCGAAACCCAACTACCGTATTTTTAGCCGGGGTTGATGCTGTAACGCTGCTGTTCTCCACTCGGGGGCGCTGCGGTATCATACGTCATACAACCCATTACTCACATGAGCTCAGAGATTTTTCTTGTGATTTAGAGTTGAACACAACAGGAGTTTTAATCAGATACTTTAATTATTTCCCAAAATTAGGCATATTGTAATTCATCTCTTTATGACCTTGTAAAAACATTATAGGCAAATTAATCTAGCTTCATTTTATTCATTTCTTTTTCTTACTTGAATCCCAGAAAACCCAATAAATATGAAATTAAATAATGGTCTATTAAAGAAAGAATGACATGAAAATGATTAACTTAAACTCAGGACAGACAATTTCAAGTGGTTATCATTTGTTGCACCAGTTATCTATTAGTGTTGCAGTGAAAACACTTAAATATAATTAAGTACATTAATAGTTTCAGTTCCACAATTATCACAGTAATAATTTTTTTGCTGCTGCATTCCAGCTGCATAAATAACAAAATTTAAAAAATTATACTTATTTTCAAGATTTTAAAAAAGGATACTTCAGCATTGCACTAAACAAATGTGATAACCTACATTTTATTCAGCTTCTGTAGAATTGTGTTTACTTTAAATGTAATTCTTTTTTTTTTTAGATAATCACAGAAAATCTCAATAAATAAATAAATTAAATAACAGAAAATGTATATGTCCACTTATTTTCTAGAACTCACTCTTCAACATCAAGGTGATCATACAGTCAGTATGGAATGTTTTCAGACCCTTTCAAGTTTTTCACATTTTGTTATGTTTCAGACTCATCTTAAAATGGATTCCATTCTATTTTCCACTCATCAATCTACACACTACTTCACAATCACAATGTGAAAACTGGTTTTTGGACCATATTGAAATTTTATTAAAAATAAAAGACTTAAATATTCCATTTACATATGTATTTAGACCCTTCAGTTAGTACTTGGTTAAAGCACCCTTCGGCGGCAATGACAGCCCCAAGTCTTCTTGAGAATGAAGCTGCAAGCTTGGCATACCTTTCTGTTTGAATTTTCTTCCATTCTTCTTGGGAGAACTATTCAAGGTCAACCAGGTTGGATGGGGAGCATTGGTGTACAGCCATTTTCAGGTCTCTCAAGAGATGTTCTATTATTTTTAGGTCCAGACTCTGGTTGGGCCACTCCAGGACTTTCACAGAGTTCTTCCAAAGCCACTCCTGTATTTTCTTCCCTCTATCCTGGCTAAGTCTCCCAGTCCCAGTTACAGAAAAACATCCCCACAGCATGATGCTGCCACCACCATGTTTGACCGTATTAACAAGGTGATGCTCAATGTCTCGTTTTCTCCACACATGCCGCTGGGAATTGTGGCCAGATAGTTAAATCTTTGTTTGATAAGACCAGAGGATTTTGTTTCTCGTGGTCCAAGAGTCTTTCAGGTGCCCTTTGGCAAACTCCCAGCGGGCTTTCATGTGCCTTTTAGTGAGGAATGGGTTCCATCTGTAAATACATTACAACACTAATACTTGTAAATGTAGTAAGTACTAAACAACAGTATGTACCTCTGTACACATTCAGCAGACAGATCATACAGAATATAAATCCAACATTCACTCATCTTTTAGTTTTGTTTTAGCCTCATCCAATTCTTGAGTGAAATGTCTATCTCTTTTGTTAAGTCAAGTCATTTACATGGCCCAAAATCACAAATTTGCCTCAAGGGGCTTAATAATACAACACCATATATTCTTAGAACCCTAATTTAGAAAGGCAACTTTAACAGGGCACTGCTTTAACAGCTAAATGCTGCACAGTGTTCACTAACTTTGTCTGTCTGTTTGGTGCAGTGCAGGTAGCATATGATGGAGAGGTAGGAGTTCATCCATCCATTCATTATCTATACCGCTTATTCCTGAATAGGAATAGGGTCGCAGGGGGCTGGAACCTATCCCAGTTGATACTGGGCATGAGGCACGGTAAACCCTGGACAGGTCACCAGTCTATCACAGTGCTGACATGTAGACAAAAAGTCCAGTACACAGTCAGAATCAGAATCAGAATCTGCTTTATTGGCCCGGTGTGTTAGACACACGAGGAATTTGACTCTGGTACATCTGATCTCAATGTGTATGTACATATAAAGTCATTTTAAATTTTCTATGCATTTCAAACTAGAAATATGCCACTTCATACACAACCCATATGTAATCCATCCATGGCAATATTTAACTCTTCATATTATTACATATGTATTAATTAGTAACAAAAATCATGTGAAGTCTATCCTGAGTTACACTTCCTGCTGTATTTTTAACTTCATGTCTATTTAAAGGATGATGGTTGAGCCAGTCATAACCGCATTTACATTAAGTTTTGATTTAAAATGCCAAACCAGCCTGTGTGTCTGTGTGTCTCTCTCAGCCTGTAGTTGTGCTTCTGCAAAGCGACCTAAAGCGATTTCCTGCTTCGGGTTTCCCTTTAAAAGGGGGCAAGGCTCAATGCTGGGAATTCACGTCATTTCGCCGTTTTACACACGTCCAAATCAAAGAGAGAGAGAGAGAGAGAGAGAGAGATATTTCCTTCTCTCTCTCTCTCTCTCTCTCTCTCTCTCTCTAGTCTTGCTCTTCCAGGAAGGGATTATTAACTAGCGTGCTGCCGACATGTGAAGGAAAAACACACAGACAAAAGAAGTTTTCATGTCGAGAGTCGTGCTATGGACCCAGCCAGCAGATAAAAAAGGAAATGCGGGCTACATGAAAAACAACAACAACTTCTCCCACAATAATAAGCCGAACAGTCGGGCTGCCACTTCTGCTGCCGCTGTGCGAATCTCTGTGAGAAAGAAAAGGAGCTAAAGAAGACAGCTAAACGGAAAAGTGGAAGGAGCGAAGTTGACGGGAGATAATGTCTGAATCTTCCTCCGCTGCGGCCAAGGTAACACCGTCGGCTTGCTCTCTTCTCTTTGTTTTCCATCAGCAGGTACTACTTTCCACTTCGACTCGGCTGTAATCCTCCTGCAGGGGTTTGCAACGCTGCCTATCAGCTCCTGCAGACGATGCAGCTGCTAAGGATTGCAGGCTGTAGTGTCGTTCACTTTTGTTTTGCTCGTTATCTGTTGCTCCTGCTTTGAGTTAGCCTCCACTCTGCTGCTGCTGCTGCTGCTGGCAAGTCGTGACTGTGCGTGACGCGCAAAACCGTGGATTTAGCGCTTCAAAAAGTGATTAGAGCTCGGAGCCAGACATAACACCTTTGCGCACAGGAACAGTAAAATAAACACCAGGGAGAAAGCCGTTTTTAATTAAAGGATTCTCTTTAAGTTACAGCAAAACAATAGAGATGAATAGGAGCTGGCCTATAACATATGTAGTGTGGTGGTACAAGACCACTTCTAGTGACAAACACAATTAACAAGTGACCAAACGTTTCACTTATTTAGACTACTAGATAAATAATACAGCTAAACAAACGATAACCTTGTCATTTTCAGTTTGTTTTGGAGCTGAAATGAATATTGAGCCACATAAAATTAATCAAATGCTATTTTAATCATCCAGTTTTGCTTATTGAGCAGCAGTGTCAAATATTTGAAAATTTGAGCTCCTCTCCTGTAAAGACATGCAGCTCATTACAAATACAATCTCTTTATATGTCTGCAACTAATGATTATTTTCATTAGTGATAGATATGTAGATTATTTTTACAGCTAATCAATGAATTGTTACAGATGCCAGAAAATTGCCCATTGTCTGGTGAGACATCTTATTGCTTGATTTGTCTGATCCCCAAAGATATTCAGTTTACAATGAGAAAAGCAGAATATCCTCACACAGGAGGAGCTGGAGTTAGAGGATGGGTGACTTGATTAATTGGTTTCAGCGATTAGCCATTGTATCTTTTGGTTTGGGATGGTTAGACAAACACAAGACATTTGAAGACCATCATCTTGGACTCTAGTAAACTAGTAAACAGTTTATAGACCAATCAATTAATCGATTAATAAAACAAAAGTTTATACTGTGTTTTGTTATACAGTATACTATAATAAAAGGAATCATCAGTTGCAACCATACATTTTAAAAATGAAATTATAAAGTGAATATTTGGGGTTTCTTGGCTTTTGGTCAGATTGTGCAAAGAATATGCAAATGCTTTGTGCTTGTGATGTTGTAATTGAAATGATCAATCATTTCAGTAATGAAGAGAATCCATAGTTGCAGTCCTAACATTAGAAAAGAAAAACGGTGTGGAATTAGTAGAGAATAATTCTCAGTACTGAGCCAAAGAATTAGTCAATTAATCTGCAACCATTTTGTTGAGTTGTCTCAGTTGTATAATTAAAAATGATGAATATGGTGAAAAGGTGATTATTTACTGCTTCAGGAACTTTGTGCTCTTTTATTTTCTGTTCTTTTACGTTGAATGTCTGTTGGTTTTGGAATGTTGGTCAGACTAATAAAGGCATTTCATTAATGAGAAAATCATTGATATAATCAGTATTTACACTTGGATTGGGGGTATGACAACACATGGAGCCTACTGACCATATCCTAACATTTTTCAAAGCTTCCACTTCAAACACTGTCTACTTTCAGAGGGTAGTGACCTTTTTCTGTCAGTGTCCCAGAACTGTTCCAAATCCTACTTTTAACTGGCCCAAACCATAGTCCCACATTAAGTCCCTTTTTTTTTTTGTACATTTTACATTATACATAAAGTCTATTATCTACAGCTTTTGGCTGTATCATTAGTTTTCCTTATTTATAATCTGTTGCTTTTAACTAGTGGTTGTGCTAATTGTTTATTGCTTTCTTTTTGGTCAGTAAATGCCTTGCTACAAAACTACATTGTAAATGCAAAATTTAGCAGTTAAACGTTGCATTGTGATTTAAGAGAAATAACACAACACATTTCCAGCTGTACTCACGTCTACAGAGCTGGACTAGCTCGACTTAATGCTAGAACTGGTTAATTAACCACCCAGCTATTCCATAATACTGGTGTTTGTGATTTTTTTTATCCACCCCATTTGGTACATCAGTGAGTGTTATCTATATAACAGAAACACCTGTCTGTATAACAAAACACAGTCAAACAGCAGTAAAAACCACAGTCTCCAAAATGATCATTACTCATTACTGGTCGAAGTTTACAGTTTAAAGAATGAACACTAAACTCAGTCACAGTCTTTCAGCCTGGTTCTTACTACAGATGTTGGTTCACAGCTGGCAGGTACAGGTGGAACAGGAAGGAGTGTGGGGGCTGCTTTCAGACAGAAGGTCCTCCAGAACCTGCTTTGATATGTGGCTCTTTACTTACTGAGATGTTATGGCACTTAGAATAACAAGCATAGATGTAGTTAACTTGAGTAACAAGTGTCACTTTACCCCTGCTACCTCTCTGCCTGCTGTCCACTTTGTGTGGGGGAGCCTTTTCACTACTGCCTCTCCTCTTGCTTGGAATTTTGCCTGTTTGTTCTCTGCTAGCTCAGTTAACTACCAGTCCAGAAAAATCCAACTGCTAATGCGCTACTGCTGGAATTTTGGGAGCGGGGGAAAAGAAGGATGATGTGTGCTGGTGGACTGATCAACAAAGGCTGCTCATGTGGCCTGCAGAGGGACCGGTTTTCAGGTGAATAGGTAGAAGATTTCTCTAGTGTGATCCAATGGCTAGTCAGCCTGTGCTACTTAACAAACAGCTCAGTAAACACAGAAAATATTAGCTAACCTACCGGGAGCAAAAACTGTTGTTAGTACCATTGCAGACTAGAACCAGAGCATGTGTATGCATGTCCGATAACTTATGAAATTTGATATCATTGGTTTGGTGTAGCTCTCGGGAGTTGTAGCTCTTGGGAGATGATGATCATGCATGTTGATGTTTTATTTCAAAGTGTACAAATAATTGTCAGGTGAAAAGAATGAGGTTGTGCTGAAGAAAATTATTATTAAACATTTCCATGGTAAACATATTTTCATGTGATATATAAAGGTAAAATCAAAACTATTAAAAATTGGCTAAAATTGCCAAAAATATTCCAAGACTCCCAATGACAAAGTCAGATATGGTGTTTTGTGTACGAGTTTGTCATCTCATCATTGAGTCTGATGTCACTGCATGACTGCAGTTGCATGCTGAAGAGAGATTAGCATTTCCCTCAGTTATCCATTTCTGTCAGTCTTCCACGACACACTGGACTTGCCCTCACCTTCATTCTGTAGCCCACTTCTGTCACATATCGCTTTCCCTTGTCTGCAGTTGTCCTTATTGCAAGCTTTGTGCTAACTATCACTTTTCCCTTGAGTCGGAGCTGTGTGAAGGCTGCAGAAGCAGAAGAGAAAAGACTGCTTCCTCTCTTTGGACAACTGACTATTTAGAAAGTGGATGTCAACCTGGGAGAGAGAAGCTGTTAGCTCTGAGAGGAGGAAATGGAAGACTGGGAGATTATTGCCTGGCTTCCACAGGAAATTCCTTGCACATGCAGTTGGTGCGCAGGTTTTAGAGTGGCTAGGCGGTGAAAGTGGAAGGAGAAACGGCAAGAAACTGAGGTGGCTGCTTTCTCTGTCCCCATTTACAAGAAAAGAAAGCAGTCAATACAGAATGACCACAAAGTAGAAAACCTCACACTTTAACCTAGATTCAACAAATCAGCAGAACTATAGCCTTGTCTAAAATCTCTGTGCTTCCTGGAGAAGAGGTGCTCCTAATATTCTGACCCTATCATGTCAGCTGGGGAGGACAAAAATACAGAGACATGTCTGAATATAATGTAGTCCAGTACAACACCACCTTTAACTATGACCTCAATAATAAACATATAATTAAGTTTACACATTTATATGGAGCCCGGAAGGGGACATAAAAGATTAATGGTTGACTTTGCAAGATCTTGCAGTACTTTTGTAGGATCCCACAAACGATTTGATTCTTGGGCCCCTCCTATTCAATTTGTACATGCTTCCATTTTTTCAAATTTTCCAGGAATGTAGTGTTGCTTATCATAGCCACACAGATGACACCCAGATATACTTAAGGCTCTCACCAAATGGCTGTGGTCCTGTAGACTTATTATGTCTGTCTTAAAAAAGTGAACAACTGGATGCAACAAAATTTCTTTCAACTAAACAAAGACAAAACAGAGAATTATTTTTGAAAGAAGGAAAGAAGGCTGGCAGTCAATGATTACTTTAAGTCTAAGACACTAAAAACTAACACCTGTGCCAGGAATCTTGGTGTAATAATAAACTTTCTGTCGAAGCGGGATTTAGAAAAGCTCATTCATGCTTTTGTTTCTAGTAGGCTTGACTACTATAATGCATTTCTGATTGGCCTCCCAAATAAAACCATCAGGCAATTGCAACTAATTCAAAATGCTGCTGATAGAATACTGACAAACACCAAGAGGAGAGAACACATTACTCCAGTCCTTAGATCTTTGCACTGGCTTCCAGTTAAATCCAGACATCATTTTAAGGTCCTACTTATTGTCTATAAGTCTCTCAATGGTCTGGGACCAAAATATATTAGAGATGTGTTTGCCGAGTACAAGCCTGGTAGGTGTCTCAGATCTGCAGAGACTGGTCAGCTAGTGGTGCCCAGAGTTCGAACTAAACAAGGTGAAAGTGCTTTTAGCCATTATGCTGCCCGCAGCTGGAACCAGCTTCCATTAGAAATTAGATCTAACCCCAACTGTAGCCACTTTTAAAACTAAGCTAAAGACTGTTCTTTTTTTACACTGCTTTAAATTAATGTTTCTTATTTCCACCCAATGTTGCACTTTATGTAATTCTATTTTTCTTTTGTCATCCAATAAGGAATGACCAATTGACTTCATTATGCTGTTTAACAGAAATGCTGACTTTATAGACATTGATGTTGCAAATCTTCTTGAAGAAAATACATACGCCTTTGGTTACTCAGAGGTTAGTCTTGGACAG